CTTGAAACTTTTTCACTTTTCTTTGTTTCTTATCTGTCTCAGAGTTAATGCAACTGCACCTTCTACCTCTCTTTGTAGCACTCGTTCAGGTGTTCTTTTGGGTGTTGCTTCACCTCTTCCTGTGATCAGTTGCTTCATCAACTCTGGTGTACTCAAGGCAGGTGGTGGACCTTTCTGAAGGACAGTTTTGGATAGACTAGGCAGAGTATCCATTGTGGCATCAAAGAATCTTCCTATTTCATCAGTAACTTCTCCAAATATTCCTTTGGTCTTTTGAAACAATCCAGATTTTCCTTCTGGGGACGCAGGTATTACCATAGCCTCTACATCAGGTACTGACACAAAGGAATCTTCCTGTTCAGACGGAGAAGCAGATGAATCTTGTTTTTCTCTAGATTCCTTTTGCTTTTTGAAGATGGATTTTACTGCCTGTTTGTCTTCTGGGTGTTTGTGGATTTTGGAACCCAAGGTTTTCCTCTGGTGTTCTCCTCCAGTAGTAGTAGTTGGTAAGGCAGTTTCTTCTTCTTCTTTGTCAGTCTTGCACTGTCTTTCTTTGGAACCCTGTGGGCCTTCCCATTTCCATTTTGGGGCTTCATCAGTTTGATCATCATCCAATACTTCCAGTATATCTTTTTCTTCAGAAGGTCCCAGCAAATAATCACCCGTTTTCCAGCCAGGCGTAAGGACCCTGGCAAAAATCACCTGTCAAAGACCCGTTTTTCATGGGTCCCTGGATACTGGTGGTATTTTTGAAAACGGGTGATTTTTCCTCAGCCATTTTCCTGCCAGGCGTATGGACGCAGACGCAAAACACCCGTCAAACACCCATATTTCATGGATGGTTGAAAACGGGTGATTTTCAGAATTTTTCCAGAAGTTGTGATCTTGACTGTGTGAAGGCATTTAAGAAGTACACGTTCAAACACCCGTGAAACACCCATCATGAATGGCTTTTTGAAATGGATGTTTTGCTAGAGTAAAATGTAGGTGAGATTTCCTTGGGGGGGATTTTATTTCACAGCTATTTCCACCCAAATCCACACGCTCTTCATGGTGTTTTATAAGTTTATGGCACGCTCTTCATGGTGTTTTATAAGTTTATGGTGTGTGGTTTCATAAGTTTTTGGCGCAAGGTTTATTTAAAACGAGCGTGACTATTAAATTTGTTTGTGCCATGTAAAATGTATAGCGCGTAACTTGTTAAATTGAGGCGCCGCCTCAATTTGTAAATGGAGAATCACACACTAATGGCAAATGGAGGATGATGCTGCTCCTACCGGGCTGCATATATAAACAAGTACATATATAAATCCAAAATAATAATTGCGATTAAATTTCTGTATGATTTGTACAGATAGTATAAAAAATATTTGCAATTAAATATATGATTTGTATGGATGGTAAGTATATCCCATTGTGATGTTTTAATAGTATGTAGATATAAATAACTGAATTATTTCATTGAAAATATAAAAAAAAATTTATAATATATCTAATGGTTCAATAGTATGAACATAATAAAGTTGTATTTAAAATTGAAAATATATAAATATATGTATATAGACACACAATATATATATATATATATATATATATATATATATACATATATGTATACTGTGTGCTGTAATCTTTAAAATGAATTAAATATGTAATTACACTTTTTTGTTTAATTTCTTGCTACATTTTGTGCTGGAAAGTCAATCAATTAAAGGAGTCATTAGAGAAAATAGGAATAAAGAAAAAGTATTAGTACTTATAAGCTTGGTTCATGAGTTGAATATTGACCATGTCAATCTGAATCATTGCTGCCAGCAATAAGTTGCATCTGTTCTGAAAATTGCTTTTGCCCCTATTCACAGGAGTGACATCTACACTGATTTTTGTAAATAAGTAGCACACTACTACTTTAAAATACAGCAGAGTGTGCTCATCATTTCAGCCGCATGCCTGCTGAAAAGAAGTACCACACTCTGCTTTAAAATATACATTAAAATATACATATACAGAACAGCGTGTGCTTATCATTTGAGTTGGCGCGCGTCCTGCTGAAAAGAAGTAGCACAACTCAATGGAATCCCCATTACAAACGCCCATATATAAATTACAGATTTACAGTGTCAGTTTGTTATAAATGTATATACATATATAGCGCTGTTGTATTGCGCCGTGCACAATTTTTGAAGTCATTGACGCAATATATATTCAAGGCAGTGAATGCGCTTGATGTCATCCTTATATTTTACATTATTTAACGCACTACGTACAAATTTTAAATGCTACGTTTTGGTAGTTTCCAACAAATTTCTTTCAACATATGAATTAATAACAAATTCAAGTGCAATAGTACAAGAAATGTTTTGACATTCTCTGCATGTAAAAGGCTGTTTTATTACAGTGTATTTGGAACATTTCTGGAATGATCTATTTAAACTGTAGGTTGTTTATATGATACTTCAAAAACTTTTGGCAATTTCAAAGGCTGTATTGAGAGGTTGGTTTGGGTTGTTCTTAAAAGAGCAGTTTAAAAACAGGGGAAGTGTTCTCCAAGAAGTGAGGAAGTGTTTTATGCCTTCCAGAATTGCGCGCACCTCCAGAATTGTCCAGCCCCGCCCGCATGCATACAGAGAGAGAGAGGGAGAGGGAGAAGCAAGTTGAAGCTTGGGCTCCAGCTTGGAGATCGGCGTCCATCTTGAGGAGTCACTCTGTCTGAAGCGGTGAACAAGTTAGGACCTGTTGTGCAGTTGTGCATTTGTGTTATTCAACTGGCAAATTCGGGACTTGTGTTAGGAATTACTGATTGATTAGGTTATCAAAAATACAAACCCTTTCTTTTACGCCTGCGTGTGCTTCTGTCCTGTGTGATTATCCTGAATTAAAATCCCACTTTTTGAAGGGCCCTCATCAAGATGTACCCGGTCAAATAACGGCTGATTTTGTGTACCTTTTCTTTTTACACCTGAATCTTTCTTTTTAACTCCCTTTGTCGGTGGGGACACAACCCTTTAACCCGACATCGCACCCCCCTGTATAAAAGGATAACAAGAATTGATTTTCACAATTTTGTGCACTTCTCAAGAATTTTCATCACACTTTCTTTGAGAAATGAGAAATTGCATTTCTGAATGCCTTCTTAGGTGCCATCTCTTCACAAACTCAGGTAATTATTGCACACAGTGCCTAGAAGACAGAACATAGATATATATGCACTGTACTGTAGAATATAAAGACACACAGATTAAAATTTCCAGCACAATGTTACTGTACAGTTGTTCAGTGCAGTGCAGGTAAAAGGTAATGTAAAAAAAATTGAACAGCTACTGAACACAGTGTACTTTACTGAACTCGGAAAAACGCTCAAAATTAATTTCCCTAAACCTCTGACATGGAAATGCCGTCTTGGAGGCTGCAGACAGTCAATTTTTTGTGATGCGCCTGATGGTGACTTGTTGACATATACCAAGTCTGCCATCATTAAGAGGGGTACATTTCCAAGCCAGAAATTCGTCATAAAGTGGATTGGTCATTAATCGGGTCGGTCATAAAGCGGAGGCCCACTGAAGTGGTCCTCTGCTGAGCAGAAGTCACTGAGTAAAATTCAAGTGTCTAATTTATTGAAATCTACTCATAAAAAACTGCTTCTGCACGTGCCAATGTTCCTCAAAAACTTTGCAGGAAAAAATATTTCCAAAGCAAATGTTCCTCAAAAATTTTGCAGGAAAAAATATTCCCAAAAATCTTGCAGGAAAATGCATCTCAAAGCACAAATTTTTGTGTCAGAAGATTCCTCTTTGAAAGAATGCAATGTACAGTACTGTGGGGATAAATAACATTTGAACACATTTTCAAAACTCAGCAAGTTTTGAACCTTCCAAAATTTTGGCTCAATGTGCATAAATTTTTAGGTCTACCCAATAATTGGCCTGTACAAGATTTTTGGGCTGCAGCATATTTTTTCCCATGAAAATGTATCCTGCTTCTGCTTTTTTGTTTGCAACATGTCATGCCCTGTGATGTTTAGGCATGTATAATTTTCTGCAGCATAATTTGTGCAACATTTTGTAAATTGTGCAACCTGACTAATCATGAAGGAGTTATGAAATCCTTCATGTTTTTATCATTTTGTTGAGTTTTCTGAATGGAATAAGGTAATTTAAAAATCTGAAAATGTAAAAAACTTTTCAAAATATTCTGCGTATTTTCATTTGACTTTATCCTCAAAGAAAGCAACTTTCTTTTCAACTCAGGAAAAATGGATATTCACTGATATTTGCTGGGCACTCACCAATACAAAAACATCTAGGATATAGATGGAAAAATAATTCACTTCTGGGGAATAACATTTGCTAGATATTACAGGTGTCAGGGCTATTTCAATTGTTTTCTAAGTTTACGGACGAATAAGAATTTCATATTATACTCATTTTTCATATGCGAGTATTTTTAAAAAACCACTCCCTCCAAATAACTGCCACCTCTCCAAAAAAAAAAAAACTATCTCACATAAATGAAATATTGTTGGTTAAATGAGGTTTGCATGTATCAAACAGCATGAAGTTCCGAACATTACAACTAAAACATGGATCTCAAAAGCTGAATGACAAGGTGTTGATGTACCTTTGGTTTTTGATCCTCCAGAAAGTCCTGCATGGAAGACCATCAGATCATCATTCGACATTGGTTCGAACTATCACTCGACGTTTCCAGCCACATCGGATCATCCCTTCATCGGAGAATTCCTCGTTTCTCAGGCTGAATCCTTCAGGTACAGTACATCCACTCTTTTAGAAAGAAGAAACAGTGGAGATTGCCATCTTTGAAAATTCCTTCTAGATAGCATCGGAACAGGCGAACACCACTTCCGAACAATTACGGATCTCGATTTGTTCTCTTCTCCGACTTTCCTAAGCCTTCCCTGCGGAAAAATATATAGTAAAAGCCGCGCATAAATCTCTTCCTCCTCTTCTGAAGTCCACCAAGAATACCAGCCAAGTTCAATGGCTGATTTTTACTGTATTTCAATAAAAATTGGGTCACTTATTCTGAGTATTATTCAAAGTCGTTTGCCTCCTCGTAACATACAACTACAATATCCCCAAGATATTCACACTCCCCACGTGTAAATATTTCAAACAAACACAAGCGATCAAAATCACAATCATCGGATCCAAGTTTATTTTCACTTTTCCTCTTCCGAAACCCCACAGTTTCACGTTTTCATGATTCACACGATTCACGTTCCCATGAATTACACCAAGAGAGGAACAGAACATCAACAAAAAAGACCCGACACAACCATACAGATGTTCTGGTGTCCAGCTCTTGTACAAATCATGTGGATCAAAACGCCCTCTGGTTCCCTCCAGGTAAAAAAGAAAATCGGCTATCGAGAGAGAATCTTATGATATTTAATGAAATAAGCGAATGAAGATAGACGTAAATTCGAGAGACGCTTCAAAAAATATAGCAGCGTGAATTTTCGAAAATACCAAAGAAAACATTCCGAGGGTTGAAAGTAAAATACAAATATATCTACATGCGTCCAATAAGGATAAGACTGCGGAACAGATGATTCATTGATGACAGACCAAATCCATCCTGTATACACCTCTTCACTCAAGGTATCACGAACTTCTTTTTCTAGCTTTCTTTCAATTCGGAAGGCCTACGTTTCTGCCATTTTTGAATTGTAGACAGCTTCTCAACGCCATCTTGCCAACGCAGTCAACATCCCCAACAGGGCAACAGCGAACAAAATGTCCGAATCATTGAAAAAATGCGATCACGCATTTCTTGTTCTTGAAAAGAAAATGCGACAATAGGTGGGGACAATATGATTGACAAAGTAAAGCAGGGATCCGTGGAGTTCAGAAACATGAAACGGATGCAAAAACATGAACCGGAAAGCTGACACGGTTTCTTATCTCTTTTTCAACCTCTGCTTTGAATCGAAGCTTCAATCGCTCGACTGAAACAAATTTTTAAAAGCAGAAATCATTTTGATATTGAACCCACATCCCTTCCTACCGATACGATATTGCGAATATCCATGAATTCGGCTCGCGAGGTCATTCGTGATTCGAACGAGTATCACAAATTTTGCCTACTCCTGAAGAACTTGTCGGGTAAAAATTTTGGATCCAGGAATTTCCTAGCATTCGTTTGAAACGTATACAAAGGAAATCGCGAGGAACGGAAATTTTCCGTCGATGGAATAAAAATTGGAAACATGGCGAAAGAGTGAAAGAGAGATAGAGATCGTAAGCAAAAAATAATAATCCTTCAAGATTCCCAAGCTTACGCAAAAATACTCGCAAAAATTCGCAACGCAGCCGGAATCTACATAAAATAACCATAACGACAATATAGGGGTCTGGGGGAAGGGCCGGGAACCGACTCTTTTCGCTTTCATTTTTCTTTTTGTTTCTCTATCACAGTTATTTTGAAACACTCGGGAGAAGGAAGTCATTTGCTAATCTCCACGGCGACTGGGGCGGCACTGCCAGACGTTGTCGGTGTCTGCGACGCGTTTGTCGTAGCGACCAGATTGAGTTTCGCTGCAACCCTCACCAACGAGTCGAGGGAATTTTCGCAGTCGGAAGTGTCGATGTTGTTGAGACTCACTCCGGCACGCTCCATCTCTGCATAAGTGCCAAAAGGCAGCTTCCCCACGCACTCCAACTTCATTATGTGCAATTTGCTGCGCAAGTGCTTGGCAAGATGGCCATGGATCCTGAGAGAAAAATGCCAAGCAGGCATTGGAGCATCGCATAATTAGAATGTGTCTCGAAATCATAAACTCAACCCATTCTCCAGCACGAAAATTTTCGGAAAAATAAAATTTAAAAAGCGCACGGCACCAAAATTAACCACGAGGTATCATTGGTTTTACTCTACCCCACCAGTAAAACGAGACACAACCTCAACAATTTAGCATCAACGCAATCAGAACAAAATCGCACTTTCGTTTCCCGTAAGTAAAGTAGTACTGTACTGTACCAGTTACAGCGAGAATTGATGGTTAAATCAAGCATCATTGCGTCAAACCCTTCTTTATCTCTCGAGTAAAGTTTTGTTCCTCGAGCGTAATGTACGCCTTCACCAAATGTAAATCTCTAGACACGGAAGTTTTCCAAGGTCCACACCGCATTTAATCAAGTCTCAAAATTATATTTTCTTTTCAATATCATGTTCGTGGGCTTTGGTAATTTTTCAAGGAATTTTAGAGCAAATTTCCGGCAATCTGCATGATGAGCAGGGACTTGGAGCTGAGCAATTTTAGCCAGAGCAGAGCGGAGCCCGGAGCAGGCAAATTTTTTGGCTGCTCCGGGCTCCAGGCCTCAAATAAAATTTGAAAAATTTGGGGAGGACCCCCAGCCATATGTGACTGTTTGGCTGGCACCAGTCAACAAAACTACCTCCCTTCAAGGCAGTCAAGTCCTCAAACCCTGAACAATCTTCCCCGTGTTGCTCTTATTAGGTTGAGAGAGGGGTTATCCTGAATCCGTTTTTTCTCAACATCCTCAAAGATGTGGATGCTTGTGTGCTACACAAGTATCCCATGGTTAAGTTGTATTTATTTTTCAATGAAATCTAAAAAATGGGTTAGTTTGTGAGATATACAAGGGGTCTAACAAAAGTTCTTGGAATATAATTTGAGAAGGCCTACACATGAGCTGAAAAACAATTAATCTTTAGGAAAATATGTTCTTTGGCACAAGAAAAAAGTCAGCCCTGTTTGACCCATTTTTTCAATGTTTTGCAAAAGTCACCCTGGCAGAGTTCCACTCAAAAGATGAGGTGCCCTTCCTGCAGATTTTGCTGTTGTAGCCCAGCTTTCCTCTCAGAATTCTTGAAATCAACATGGCATTAATTCCAAAAGTTGCCTCCAGGTCTTCCAAGGTAATTCCACCATATACACATTATAGTTTGGCTGGTGGCAGCCAACAGTAGTCCTTCCCCTTGAATAAGTGATTAACATCTTGCTGGAAATATGCATCCCCTGGTTGCTTTACTGCAGTAAAGGTGGACACTTCATACTCAATAGTCTGGACCAGTGTCCCCCAAATGTTTTTGGCCCACAGACCAAGAAATTTTCAGAAATTTTTCTTGTGGACTGGCACATTTCAAAAATAATTTCTGCACACTGGCAAATTTTAATATTTGCAAACATTTTTGCAGACTCAAAAATGTTTTGCTTGAAAGACTTTATGGGAGGTATTTAAAAAGTTTGCTTGATTGAAAAAATTAAGCCAAGAACCAATGATGCAGCTACAGTACAGTGAAATGTCTTCAAAAATTTAGAGAAGTCAGCTTAAAGAAAGGTTTCTCTGAATAAAAATTGAAATAATTTGTTCCAGCAGTTGAAATTTCGTCTGAAGTATCATTAGGAGAAAATCCAACTTTTATTTTTCATCATTAATTCAAACTGCAATTATCTTTCTGAAATTTCAGATAAAAATAACAGACTTCACTGCTTCTTTTGATTCATTATGCAAAGGAAAATTTCCTGCAGACTGAAAAAAACTTCTGCAGACTGGCACTGGTCTGTGGGCCATGGGTTGGGGAACACTATTCTATCTATGAAGATGCAGGGGACCAGAAAAAAATCTTCCTCAGATAATGCTTTTACAGAACCTCTTTAATATAGGTAGTGGCCCATATGGGCCTCTACCTATATTATAGCTGAATATAAACCTATATTATAGCTGAATATAAATTCACAAAGATTATAATTTCCATACCCTATTGTGATGAAGTTTTATTACTATACATTCAAGTCAGATTTTCATAGTCTGTGACAAAAATTTAAAAATTTGTATTGCCTATAGAGCACAAATTTATACTGTAATAAATCTATATAATGAGACTATTGATGAAAATAAGTTTGTAAAAATAAAATCTTCATAGCATTGTTCCTGTGGAACAAGTGCTGGGACCAAGAAAAAATTATAATTGCAAAAAAAATTATGAAAATTATGAAAAATTATGTTATTGTTATGGTGAAAAGAGTCCGGAGCTCCGGAGCCCTGGAGCAGAGCACCAGCCCGGAGCTCGGAGCACGGGATTGTGTCCGGAGCGGAGCAAAATTTTTTTTTTACCCTGCTCCAAGTCCCTGATGATGAGAAATAAAAACTTTCTCATCACTGCCAGAGTTTCACGCGTTGAGAAAGGGCATACGGATTTAAATTCTGCGTGAATACTATTTTTAAAATAGCTTTTACAATACAGTACTTCATTCCAACAGCTTTTCCTTTTCGGGCTTGGTATGGGTAATAGGTTTTAGAGAATATAGATATCATCTCCCGAGTTTTCTCATAATGCACACGAAGCATCAACTTTTATTAGCGCTTTAGACTTCAATAAATCATGAGCGAATCTGACGGGATACATGTGAGGAAGATGAATCACGAAGTGAAAGCACGCGAAATTTTGCATCACCAGAACCAGCGTCAGATGCTATTTCCTATTGTGACACAAGAAACGGTACGCGGTCTTCCATGCGACCCACTTCGGAAGTTCCATTGTAAGGTCTTCCCAGAAGCCGGAAAGTTACAATTCAACCCTCAAAACATTCGGTGGATAGTTCGTAAGGCAGGAGGAATGACTAGGTCCATTCCTAATTCACCGCTAAACTGCGATACGGGGAACTCGAATAGTCGGAACGAAAAGAATCATTCTTTTTGCCAAAAATAGAAACTTCAATTAAACAAATCCTGGCACAATGGGCTGACATCTGATAAAATAAGCCGAATCCGGCAAATAGGCCTTCCGTCAATATCGATTTAATTTACAGTATATTGAATGACGAGTTACCAATACCTTGGGGCCTCAAGCAACGAACGCCTTCAGCAGCAAACTTCTTACATAATGAACCCCGCGCACCCGCCATTTTGCCTTAGGAATCCAGAGGAACGAACCTCCAATAAATCTAACAATTGTACAGTACTTAGAAAACAAAAAAATTGTTGATGCCAAATTTTTGAAAATTTTCATTTTTTAAATTCAAAATTGCATTCCCATGGGAGGAGCCCGAGGGACATTGGAAGACAAATCCTAATTTCAAATAAATTTGTATACCTCTTTCGCTTTCAGTTAACCTAATACGAATAATTTCCAAGTCGACAGTACAAGAGGCTGCTCTTTCCTTTCCGAATTGTTCTGCTTGTAATGAATTAAATCATTTTACAATAGGTTACTATGAAAATTCTGACTCGAGGAACAAACGTTTTGATCAACGAACCAGCCACTGGAACGAATTAAGTTTGTTTCTCAAAGCCCCACTTGACTGTAAAATCTACTACAGGTGGACCACCTCCGCACCGAAATTCAAGCGACCAGAAAAAAATGCGTTGTAGGAAAAATTCTGTTGTTGAGAACCCAGTGGGACCAACAAAAAATTGATACACTGTAGAAAGAAAATCGTAGTAGACAATAACGTTATAGAGAAGAGTCCACCTGTATCAACATTTCCCTGAGTTGGTGGTTCTTCGGGCACTGAAAACACAAGCAATCCATGACTTCAGCCATTGGCCGGCTTCTCAAAACCCTTAAAAATCCTCGCGACGACTGAATTTCATTTAAAGATATCTAACTCGATTATCATGATTAGAAAATATACTTCAATTGACCACTAGTAAATTTCATGTGAACAAAAAATTGGCATTGAAACTTCCTCCTTCTTCGCAGAAACACGAATGCTGCAGTTCTTCCAAATACTGCATGACATGTACTGTAGAATCAAATCACCTGAACGCTATGTTGCAATCCGCACACTTGAAAGGCCTCGGATTGTCGTGTGTCGGAGCCCCGAAGGCAAGATTCATGTTGAGCTTGTTGAAGTGCGACACGGACTTTTTATGCTTCTGAAGGTGGCCGCGTGTCCTGAAACTCACGGCACATGACTCACAACGGTACGGCCTCTCAAAGTAATGGATGTTCACGTGGATGCGCAACTGGCTCGGCTTCAGGAATGCCTTTCCACAAATCTCACACACGCACCGGTCTTCCTCGCTGCTCACCCTGGGGCAGAAAACAACAACAAAATAGTAAGCAGAGTACAGTACTGTACAGAACAATAAATTATTCGTTTGTTACTTCCCTTTATACATCCACCACACATGTACATGACGCCACAGTTGGACGACAACCCGTCAGCGCTATTCGTCGAACAGCAAGTACGGTATTGTATTTTTTTTTTAATCGGACACGTAAGCATCCTTTCTGCATACTTGCGTGAATTGAAACTCTCCAACTTTCCGTACATCCCTATGCGGCTAAACTGAGATTAAGAGTCAATCCTCATCCGCTCAGTCCCACTTTAAATTTACCCGCAGATCGCGAACGGGACACAATCAAATAGACACAAGGCACGAAACGAATATGCAACGTTTCGAAAGCTCCATTCGATCAAATTACTTCAAGAAAAATAGTTTAAACGGTTGAAAATACCATGAACATTTCTGATTTGTCCATCCCAACGTCAAATTTTTCTAGGGGAAATAATGTCACGGGCAATCCGAATTGCTAATTAATTTTGTATCGCGTCACTTAAAGTTCCACACATTTATGTTCTCCTCCTGCATGGATATCAGCGTTACTAAATTGGCAAGCAAGGGTTTACCAGGTTTCTACATGATTTGAAGAAGACTTACCGTCCTTAGTATTTCCCTGATTCGACTTACTGTGTTTTGTATTTCCCTGATTCAAATACAGTACTATAATTCCCATCAGATAGTCTTGACATCCTAGCCTGGACTGCTTGACTAAGCAGCAAATTAAGTTGGAGGAAAGAGGCAGAATCTAACAACGCTCGGATGCTAAGAGTTGCAAAACCGAGCTCTCTTGGGCGTCCAATTATACTAGGGCTTTGCCGTGAGTCAGCTGATCGGTCTAGTTTTTGATTTATTGAGTCTATTTGTCTGTATTTGAGGACCATGTGCTGTTAGTTGACTCTCTTGCATCCCTAATCTTAAAAAATAACGCGTCGACCTTTGTGGGTATTCAGTAAGAAGGATCTGTCCACCTAATGGCTGAAAATATTGTTTCATTTGTCCGCAATCAGCACCAACAGTCACTGATAGGCTTCACTCAATCGGCGTTTGGTTATCTTCTTGGACACAGTACAACACTTCAGCAAAAAATGAATGAGCTCCTTTCGTTCATTACCTGCCAAAAGTCGGTTGCGCAGAGTGCACAGTAGCGACTCTGAGCTGTGACCTCGGCTGAAGCGGTCCGGGCACAGAAGCATTTCCGATCGGCTCCCCATCACAGTCTTCATCTCCTGAACCCAGATCGTCTTTGTCGCCGTGATGCTGCGCCCACGACACAGCATCCGTTGCTTCACCCGACAGGTCCTCCTTCACGTCCTCGTCCTCAGACAACACGTCCTCCTCGACGTCATCGTCATCCTCGTCCATCTCGCCGCCAGAGCACTTCTGGCCTTCATCCGCAGGGATTTGCGGCGACGCAAACTTCTTTTCCGCATCGCTCGATTCATCCGCTTCTACTTTCACTGTTGCGGTCGTTGCTACCTGGACAGTCGACACCGGCTGCAGTAGATACAAAGGGGTTTACTTATGAACACAGCTTCACAATGGATTGTACAGAGGAACCTCATCAAGTAGTACCTCATGAGGCCAGCCAAAAAAAATAAAATAAAATCGAGCTTGGGAACCAACCCTTTTTCTCGAGAGAAATGAAGCAAAACAAAAACTGCAGTTGGTGATATTCTCGACCTCAGATTGCTTTTTGAATTGGTTGACAGAATGTTGAACTTGGAGGTAAGGGTTCATTTGCCCACATTAATCTCGCACTTTCGTTCGAATCATATCCGGTCACATTTTATTGATTTCCTCTTCCCTGTTTCAATAAAAATAGCTGAAACGCATGCAGAAATGTTCAACGAAGGAGGTTTGAGGGGAAAAAGGGTTAGGTGAGGTTTTTAATGCATTGTTTCTAAGGGAATTTAGAGTGTGGCTTGAGAAAAAATTCGACATAAGGAGGCATTCGACTAAGAGAAGTTCGAGTTACCGAGATTCAATTCTAGCGACGAATTCTCCAAGAAATTATCGACCTTAGCAAACATTGAAAAAACGTTGGTCATTGAAAATGAATCACTAATCTCTTAAAATCATTAAGACAAAGGATTTTCATTGGAAGAAGGGATGCCACGTTTTACGAAAACGGTTTCCAACAACGATTACTGAATGCCTACGAGGATCCCCGTCGGACCACAAAAAATCTATTGGAAAAATAGGGCATTTAGAACATTCACCAGATAGGTACATAAGCTGTGAAGAAAGAAGAACAGTTCGGCTTCAATACTAACTGTAACAGATCGAGAACCGACGTATCCACAAGGTGTAGACAAATGCTTCGCGAAACACTTGCAAACACTCCGTTCTTCCGCGGGGGGTGTCCTTGCAAGGAAAGTAGATGAAAGTTGACTCAGCATTTCGCGTTCCGCAGCCTTACTCAACTTCGTGATGCCAAAAAGGGAAAGGGAGGAATCCTTTTGGCCCCCATCTTTCACTGAAGGGACACTGGAACGCGTCACGACTGGCGACATACGGCTAGTGAATGCAATCAGATTGGTGGAAACGTCAGATGCAGACACCATAGCTGTTGGCGACACAGAATGACTAGATTGTGATGCTTCACCTGCGAAAAATAAAGTTGAAAATTTAATACTGTATTCGAAATTTTCAGACGTTGAAGTTATCACAGCTCAAGTTGGAGATATTTTACTGTACAAATACTGTACAGTCAACCCCTGTCATCATGCTCCCCCCATAAACTGCCACCCTCGGCAACATCAATCAATTTTAAAAATCATTTTCAAATCTTCTCCAGCGATAATAGCATTGGAAACCCCGTTCAAACGTCACCCGTCAAATTAATGACAGCTTGAACAGGGTCTTGTCAATTAATTCTGTCTTTGATAGTCCAACAACAAGATTCAAAGTTCTCGGAAAAGTCTCACATAAATAAAATAAAAAAAACCACGAACAAAAAGACGACACAATTAACGTCTTGGGACCATTAGCCGGATAGAATTTACGCATCTCAGGGTTATTTCCGTTGTTTTCTAGAAGAATACGAATCATATTTTCGATTATAATTGATTTTCGCATTATTTCAACTTCTTGATAAACCACAAACCCCTTCTAAGCCGCCAACCCTGTTAAACCGCCACAAACCTCACGAGCACATGGTGGCGGATTATCAAGGCATGACTGTTACTACTTCGAAAGGGGTACTTTTTTGTCAAACTCCCTGATCAGAATCTCTCGTGGATTTCTGGTTCGACACACTACCATCGCAAAAATTTCGAACCTGGCCATTAAAAATTAAAAATTGGATTTATTGTGCCAAAGTGCCTTTCAATTCATGTGAAACGCATGTTACCAAAATGGGGAAAAACATACTCGGCGAAATTAAACAAAAAACATGAAAATAGATTATAGAAAATCAATTTTGTAATGCTGACAAGACGTGAGACATCTAAACTTCCGAGGGAATAATCTTAACATCAATATCGTGAAGTGGACAATTTTTTTTTTCAATAATGAAAATTAAATACTGCACAGTTCGGTATTTACTCGAGTACCACGCGCCCTCCAGTAAGACGCGCATCCACTTTTCTAGTGTTGAAATTTGGATAAGAAACATATCCCCGAGCACCTCATGTTCATTGAATAAAATATGACAAGGTTTTGAAAATATGTAAAGGATCAAAATTTTGAATTCAATCCAACCAGAATTAATTCCCGATTGTTTCCATTGAAGAACAAATTGCGTCTTGAAATTTGTTGAAAATTTCCTATAAGAATCAATTACGACGCGAGCCTGAACGCTCAAAATTCTGAAAAAAGTTATACCCGCTTTCTTTCAGTTGATTTTGAAAAAAAGGAAATTGAAAGAAGTGCGCGTGGTACTCGAGGAAATACGGTGAAAAAAGGGCGCGTTCTTTCGATCGGAACAACTTTAAAGAGCCTGCACAGAAGTCGATTATTCTCCAGACTTTCTTGAAATCTCACCAGGACCGATTTCCGCCTTGACACCCGTCTCCCGGCCTGAATCGGAAGGACGCGCAGAACTGGAGCAAGGTGACACTAAATCCAGAGCATTCCAATGATTTGAATCATCCCCGTCTTTGTTTCGTCCCGGTTTGGTGTGCGGTTCCGCCTTCACCGTCTTCGAACCGCCACAGATCAGGCACAAGCTCCAAGCATTCGATGGAGAGACGTCAACTCTATCCGCATAGCACGACACCTTCGTCAATTTCGGCGCTTCGTTCTCCGTATCCTTTTTCGCTGCAGTCTTCAGTTTGAGAGACGCTACAGCGTACAAACTCGCGGGACCTGAACCCAGCGTCGGCACACATATCGGCTCAAAACGACGACGGAGCGGCGACTGATTCCGACTTGAATCGTATAGACTCATGGCTTCGCCAGGCGTCAGTCCAACGGCGTCGGGAGTTGAAGGCGGCAACACCTGGGAAGCAAGAAGAAGTTTACAGTCTAAATTTGTTCGGGTTTACAATTCGAAAGATAACATTTCATCGAAATGAGCCATTAAAGTCATCTCAAGATACTCCCGGATTTGCATGCCCATACCCATCAGGTCGAAGTCCATTTTTTACGGCGGTGAGACTCTCCTTCAGAACATTTTGCTACCCATATTAACGGTAAAAAAAAAAAAACTTTCACACGGGGTCTGTTTTCATGGCTCTTAATCACACGGAATATGGCGATATTCCGAATTTCCAATTAAGTCCGCATCTTGGGGCCTGGCTGCTTAGCGAGACCCTGAGATGCGAACGTAATTGGTGCTTGAAACTCGTCTTCATGTCGGAATGTTTCCCCATAGAAATCAATGAGAACTTGTTCAAATAGTTGCTTTTCGTCAAAAATTGGGAGTAAATTCCCCAAAAATTGAATAAAATGTGAGTCTCAGCTGAATAGATAGAGAATGCAATTGTGAAGAAGAAAATTACGAAGAATCTGATTTTTTGGCATAAAAAGGACCCCAAAAAGAAGAGAAGGTGTAGAAGTCTCGCTATACTGTGCGCAGATGAAGAAGAATACTGTAATCTGAAAAAATAGGATAAAACTAACCTGCTTTTGATAATAAATTTGATTGAATTTGTAATGAAATTCATTTTTAATGCCTGTCGATTTGAATAGCTCAATTGGTTCAAGAGACATTTAAATTTCGAAAAATAAAAATCTTACTATCTTCTAGACATGTTGAAGTGTCGGTCTGTCGTGAGACTCGTGACAGAACCCGGATGTCAGGGCTTCACAAGAATTTTTTTTCAAGTTCCTTCAAGGCGAACTGGCCGTATGTCGGGGCGTCCATATGTTGGGGTCACACTGCATTTCTTTTCTTATTCATGGTTACCTTACTTTAATTATCGCATAAGCGGTATTACGCAAGCGCCGTTTTCGTCTTTCAACTAAAATCCAACCAAAAATGTTCTTTCCATCGTGACAGCATATCTACACAAAAAGCAATTACATTAGATTTATTATCGGTCAAAATCAAAGTTCATTTATCTTTATTTCTCGCCAAGCAATGAACGGTTTTACACTCACCTGCCAGATGGAATACATGGACAAGTGCGGTTCTTCAGTCGCAGAAACCGGAACATAAGTCGGCTGCAAGTTGAAGACGCAACAATACGTCACATGGGCGTTGGACTTGAGTCCCAAATACGTGTAAGCGTGTCCGTTGAGAAACAACTGCGTGTAACTCCGTCGCGGGCGGGGAGTCTCCGGTGACATCAAGATACACGCCGGGGAAAGCGACACAGCCAAAGGACCAGGGCCAGGTGAGACCAACGAAGCGACAGTCAAAGAACTAGGTCGACGGGCAGGCGCAGACGTCACAGGTGGAGGAGTTTTTTCACGCTTTCGGGATTAAAAATAATTACATAATGAATCCATGAATCCGTCATCATACCACACGTGTAGATCACTAAGATCGTAATTTCTATTGTTTCTTTTTGCTCCGCAAAAATATCGGTATTTTTTCGATTACCAAAAGCATTTTTTAGAATTTTTAAGAAAAAAAGGGGTGCGCGCCATAAGAGGGTATACATTTTTTGTAATTTAGGCGTGCATTATACACTTAACGATGCCAATGAGAAAGTGTGGGCCGAGTTTAACAGGGAAACTGATTTTGCTGGAAAAAATTCATCACTATTTTAATTCAGGTTCAAATCATGTCAAAATTCAAATTTGGGCATTTTCATTTTTGAAATAGTGTGGTTTTGGAACTTGATGGCGACTGGTAATCGAGTACATACGTTACATACAGGGCACGGTGACCCTTGGAAATACAGGAGTAAAAAATAAATACATTGGAAGTTCAACCTCATTCGGATGTGCAACTCAATCGTCTTCAAATTGCATTCGTTGTACAGTACTTCCTGATGTCAAATCATGACAATTTCAAAGAAGAGTCCAATCGCAATCGTTGGATAGGTACAGAAGTAGCGGCGTTCGGCTTCATATTTTTTCAAGAGGTTATCGCAGAAGCATTTATCTTACTTGGATAGAAAAATCGTTTGCAATAATCTCCATTCGTTACAGAAGGTCAGCATTTACTTGAACTGCACGTTTAGTGCTTGTGACCTAAATTCTGTTCTAACAATCCGAGCTCCCCGAACTTGAGCATTCTCACTCGGATGCAAAACGCCACCCTGTAGTTATCATTGAAAAAATTAGAATTCAAAAATTGTGGATTTCTAATTTATGTATAGATTAAATTTTGAACTCTCTCTGCCAAAGAAGGGAAATACACATTTCCAAAACAGATTTTTAAGAGTGTATTCTATACCGTACACAGTACCTCAACTTTTTTACATTGATTCTTCTGACGTTCCACGAGTTGATTTTTTTTTAATCAGGGCAAACTTATACGAAAATCGGCGGTTTTGCACAAGGTGCATTTTCTTCGTCGGAAGAGTCGCTGGATATTATATTTACAGAAAAATGCACATCAACGACGCTGCTACAGTACTTTGACTTTCGGATTTAAAATTTTCATGAAAATCACGAGGTTCATCATATAAAAAGGGCACCAAGATCATTCAAAAGTCAAACGCCCTCAAAATTTAAATCTTCTGAAAACTAAATTCGACATTTCTGCATTGAAGTTTTTGAGAAATTGCCAATAAAATAAAACGTTGTCCATGCTTCGACGCAATCACAAAAGAAACAAGTACGATTCACACGAAATTCAAATAAATTCTCAACATAATCCAAAGCTGATATGTCTTTCCTTGTCCTTATCTTTCCAGTTTCCTGGGTACCTACGGAGCAGGAACGTTATAAACGATGCATTTTGATTTTACTTTCTTTTAATTTTAAATCTCACTTACCAGCGTTATTCCATTTTGATGAACAACAATGCTGTTTGAAAATTAGTTCAATATTTTTCTCAAACCTGTTGAAACCTAGAGTGGAAGGTTCCTCAGCGAAACCCTGAGTTTTTTCTTGAGTTCAAAACGTTTGCCGTTCAGGATCGCCCCGGACCAATAACACTACAAAAATACGTCCTCAAAACTAGCCCTCGTCACATAATCAGAAAACGGAGCAATTGTCCGGCAAGAATATGTTAGTCAAGTGATATCACTTCGCTGCCGCTTAAGACAAACCCCGCAGACAACAGGGAAGAACACAACTTCTTCCAACATTTTTTTCGTACTAGCCAAAGATACTGTACTTGGATAAAACAAATGAAATCGTACCTGAACAGATATACAATACATTGGCATACAAAATAATGAATCAAATCTTAGTTACCATCCCATCAGCAATTCTTCCAGCTGACGAACGGTCTTCTGGATCCGGACTGCTTTCGCCCGAAACGCTCGTCTTGTTGATATCTGCACTTGAGCAACCTTCACTGGACGTGGGAAAGCGGCTTGAATGTTCTTCCTGCTGGTCTTTCCCTTCATTCGACGTGATCACAGTTGGAGAAGACGGTGGTGAAATTGCTTCAATCCCACTGGTTCTTAGGTCCACGACGTCTCCACCTAAAATTGCAGAAGATATCGAGAAAAAAACGATCCAATAATGAGAATAATCACTTGGACAAAATGTTCATCCATGTCATTGTCAACAAGTTCAATACCTTGATTCCCTATACGCAACATCCCGTCCTTGGGGTGCGGAACTACATGAAAATACAGTACCGTGCTTTTCTGATTAAATTTCAATTCCCCCTTACACTCGTCCACATACAATTGTACAACATAAATACCCAAGGATGGAAAGAACGTTATTTATTCGTCACAAGACTGAGCGGCATTCTGGAAGTGAACTCAGGTAAAAAAAAAGTTCACGTAGAATGAAACAATAATTTTGAAAAATGCGCCCATCGGAATTCCGGTTGAACAGAAGAAACCTCTTCCTTCATATACAATGATAAAAACTAGGCATCGTACACCAACAGGCGGCGAATCGAGATTCAACGAGACCGCAACCACGAACACCAATAAACTGAGGTAATAAGAAAATTCAAAAAGAAAGATCTCACCTTGACCTCCGGGGATGTAAGCCTTCGGAGGTTCCGGTCCCCTTCTATCGTTTTGCGACGTTATCACAGGTGACGAAGAAAGGGAAGTCATCTGCTTATCAGATTTAAGATCTCTACTCTTGTCAACCAAAAATTGTGGTCCCAAAAAATATGGAAACTTGGGGTTCAAATTCGGCAAATCCAGGCAGTACAGCGCTCCCGAAGCATGACTAATCATTCCGTTATTTTCGGTGCCCGGCCCTCGACCACCATCCAAGTTCAAAGGGTGCATCTGAGGATTTAAACATAAGAGATAAAATGCATTTGCTTATGTACTGTACCACAGAATACATTACTTCGTCCGATGAACTCCTGGTTTTCATCAAACATGCACATGAAACACATTCAAGACGAATCACTTTCAGCACCTACAGTAACATTCAATAATTTCCAGGCCAAATAATGGTTTGCTTGATAAAATCGAAATCTTTTAACTCGAAGCTCATTTCAGGTGTAATTCTCTTCAGGCTCATTCAAATTTATTTGAGTTGATTACTTGAATTTGATTTATTTGAATTGCTGATTTAAATTCATTTGAATTTTCGCCAAGTAACACGTGGAATCACGTGATTCTCGGTTTTATTTTCAGAAACGGTACGCATTGGCAACAGAGTTGCCTCGCATTCCCAAGAAATGTCGGATTTTTTACAACACACGATTAAAACGAAACTGACCTCCGGTCGATCGGTGGATTGTCCGGCGGCAGACTGAATTATAGTTCCCCCAGAATGCAACGCGGATTTCGCGGCAATTGCGACGACAACGGATTCAGTTTTTGACGTCGGCGCCCCTGTGCAGGCAGGAGACAGCTTCGTGCCAATATGAGTGACTGTTTTCGAGCTCGTGCCCTCCTTGATTTTTACTTCACTGCCGCAAGTATGGATTCCCGGTCCCGAAGGACGCATCCAAGGAGACATAGGCAAGCTCTTGGGCCACAGCCCCACCTTTGATTCCGAAGGATCGCAGATGTCTCCACTGTCTCGGGGAACTGCATCCATTCCAATCTAAAGTTAAACAAAATTGAGCATAAATGTTTACCGCAAAAGCAGCCACGAATACTGTATTTGAGAAAGCCGTTCAAGAACGACAGCTCTGGTCATGGAATAACAGCACCGGTACACCCCCTCCTGTAAATCCCGTGTTATTCGTCAAAACACTCAAAAAAATACTGCACGGGTACACAAAAGCACGAAATGCATGTCAAATGACGCCAAGATACGATTTCTGTAGCTACCACGGAATTGAACCATACATTGTTCAATTTTGACGACAAAATATTTAGACGTAGATCTGCCATTATCAAAAAGTTTAAGGTCTCGGTTCCCTGTTCTCAACATCCCGTCCTTGGGGTGTTGAACTAAATGAAAATACCTTTCCGATTGCATTGCAATTCCGACTTATATTAGTCCACATACAATTCAACAATGTAAATACCCAAAGATGATGAGAGGGTTCTTTATTCGTCATCCCACTGAGCGGCAGTCTGAAATTTTCTTGAAGATTTTCTCAAGTTTAGAAAACAAGGTAATGAATGCGCCCTTCTTTATTCCGTTTGATCAGAAAAAACCTCTTCCGTTGAATACAATTACAAAAACTTGTAATCATTCACCAACAGGCGACGAAACCAGTAGTTCCCCAATTCTTTTTACATGAAATTAAATATTATCAACAAATAAATTTTGTCTCTCTTTCAATCTTCAGATGAACAAAAATACCTTTGCTATCGTCGCAACCAGAAAAATAAATGAGAAGACCAAATAAAAAAACTTACACGACGTTTCTTCGAGGCAGAGACAGGATCAATTCCTACACCGGGTTCTTCAACATCTGAAAAAGGTCGGCTGTTTCTGTTCTGCACATCCACCGTGCTAGCACCATTTCCAAAGATCAAAGGACCGACGCAACTTTTAGTGTGCACACTGAAGCTGTCCACATTGTGAAATATGGCATGGCACTTCCCACAAGTCTTCACGTAAGACTACATGGCAAAAAAACAGAACGGTATGCGCATGTGTGATCGTTTCGCGGAATGAATAGAACTACTGCGCTCTACCCACCATTTCGACGGCGGAAAACCGGGGATCCGACTGACTGAGCAGCGGCGTGAATTGTATTGCTCTCGTTGCTGACAACGCCGGCGTTACGTGTCTTCTCTGGTGTTGACCAGACGTCACTATTGGCATACACTTGCTTTGCGTCGGACTAACGCTTTTTGAAGAAAGAATCTTTGACATGGAAAATTTCCCCACGTGCGCAGTGCTTTCGGGGCTTTGTCCAACGAATCCCGTGGACACGGAATCCCTCGTTCGTTGGTATCGCTTCGAGGACCACAGCGGGTGCGCCTCCACGATGGCGGTATTGTTGTTGATGATTTTCGTGATTCGCTCTTCGAGAGCCTCGTTCGGTTGGACGCTGCTCTTGTTGGAAGTAGAGGCAACGGAAACAGTCGGATCGGGATTCAAGGAGAAGGCTCGTGCATCGCATGAATCAGGGATAAGTTTCAATGGATCACTACTTCGGGGTTCACGGTGGAGTCCTTTGTTCGATCCGATTGTGAGGGGCAAAGCGTGATGGATTTCCGCTGGTCTGGGATACTCTATTCGAAGCGACGGCATTTGAGCAGGCGGGGGAGGATGATGAGGTAGTCCCGTGGGCATCGTCAACATTGCACCAGATCCCCTGCAAATTATGTTGGTAAGACTGCAACTAGTGTGGGACATCTCGCGAATCGAACAATTATTAAACCGAAACAATTTAGTGAGCACAAGTTATGATAGCATATTCTGGATCTCACAATAATGAGGAGCGATTTTCCTTCGTAACTACTCTAAAATGAATAATGTAGAAATTAAGCGCTAACTCAAAAATTATCGTCGAATTGTTTCATGTCACTGTCTGAATCCCCTTGAAACAATGCATTAAGAACTCCGTAAGTCGAAGGCTCTCCCACTCAAATCTCCATAAATAAAATTTTCTGGAGACCTATTGGCTACTATTTCGTTTACACATAAAGAGAAAAGCAATAAAATTGTCAATCGATGTGTATTAAAAAGAAAGTGATAGAATTATTTGGCAAACAACCCCTTGCCACAAAGTTCAGCATTCCTGTCAACTCATTCAAGAAGCAAATCAAGGTCCAGAATATCACCAAATTAAAATTTCCTTCAATTTTTCCCTCTTGAGCCATATCCAGTTAATAGCAAACCCAGAAGGTACTCATTCTAGAAAATAAGGGCTACAACTTTTTCAATCGACATGGCAGAGAACCACAGGTTTCGACGAAAAAATTAAAAACCTTTGATGCATCTGCCGCGGGGATTGTGGACTCATGATGTACGGGTGACCGGTTGGATTAATCGACTCAGGTCGGAGCCTCAAATCCGCAGCACCTCGCAAAAGCCTCGGCGTGCCACTCGATATAGACCCAAGAGGCGCCTGAGCTGATGTGATACCCGGATGATGTCGCGGTGGCATTGAATGCAGAGGCACATGCAGCGGCGGACCTCGGATCGCACACGGCGACATGACGAATGGCGAGTCGTTGCGCTCGACACGATTCAGCATATCCGGTCGAGGAGCAGTCGACACGACGTCCAACCCACCTTGAAAGCCTACATCGGTCGATCCCTGCAAAACGGTACACGAAACGTTTTCCTTCATTAGTACACAGTTGACCATTCACTCAAAGAATAAAAACGAACAGCAATAACTTATGCTCAGCAACCTGAAACCGTACGAAAGGACCCCCTTTCATACGAGCTTTAATGTACGTGTTGTCACCCAGTTAATGGATTGACAACGCTAAGATTCTTACATGAATGTGAGAAACTCACCGAAAATTGATGAGGTCGAAGTTTCACTAGCACGTCTTCTTTGACAGAGACAGATTCGTGAACATCCCACTGGCCCCGATTGCCGGGTGATTTCGACAGCACGGAGGTGTCGTCATCCAACCGTGGACGTTTCGCTGACAGGTCGAATGGCACGTCGCTCGGCTCCTCTTCAGCCTTTTGTACTGGTGCGTCAGGTACAGAAACAGCCGGCACAACTTGATCCGCATTTTTACGAAGCTCAACAGAAGTCGACTCTTCTTCGGTCTCCGCGGGCTCTTCATAATGCTTCACACGAAATTTGGGCTTGTAGATCGTCTTTGGCTCAGTACCGGAATCCTTTTCTACGTTTTGGATAGCCCCTCGCGATTCCGTAGGTGTCAACGCAGGCTGAGCATCACGTTTTGGTCCATTTTGACTCTCTCCCGTTCCGGAAGCAGCCGAAATCGTCACTGCATTTGATCTGCAGCCAGAGATGAGAAATTAACATCCTATGCACTAGACAAGTCGTTCACACGTGGAAATGTTTCATACAAAGATTAAAAACGGAAACCGTACTGCTGACAAAAAGGATACGCAATGTAAAAGCTCGAACTATTATACACGATTGATTCAGTAACTTCACACAGAATTCGCATAACCTGACACGCAGATAGCCCGGAACATCCATGCCTTCATCGCGGATCCGATGCGTCAACAGCCTGTGCTTCTGCAAGCTCGCTTTGGTTTTAAATCTCAGCCCACATCGATCACAGTGAACCACGACGCCAGCACTGACTCCAGGCCCTCCACTTTGCCGTCTTGGCCTTGAGTCAAACGAAATTATTCGTTTGATGAAAATCACAAGCAAAGGCAAATATAAACTCGCGAGAGACCGCTAGGCTACGACTTACGAGACTGATGAAAGGCAAAAACACAGTACAGTACAGTATATTACCTGGTGGTGAGGGATGGTCCAGGCCCACTGAACAGCGGATCCGAATTCTCCGCACCAGTCGCTCGGGATAACCCAACCCTGGTCCTCACAGGCGTTACCTTGTCATCTTCGCTGGCATCATGAACTTCCGCAGCCACACGTTTGAACTTCTTGTGCAAGTAGCCCACAGACGATGCAGAACCACGAGTAATACCTCCTTCCACTGACGCCTCCGTTGATGATATTTCACGCGATGCCGCATTCCCCCGAGTGCCTCCCCGGCCTCCCCGTCGCTTTCCTAGAACACAAGAAAAATTAGTTTCAGCGTTAAAAAAATAAGGACTTGGAAGATTATCGATTTCTTCTCTAGAAATCGTCCTCATCACTTGACACGCAAAATTGCATACAGTACTGACCTCTACGTCCACCTCTTCTGGCCATGTTTACGGCACGTCAGCGTGTACCGAGGGAAACGACTGCCGCAGCTGTCGTCGTCACTGCGGGCAGCTACAATCGTCACATGTCCAGCGCTGGCTGTGGCCGATGCGCCGTTCTCACTGCGCACCAGGATTTTGCTTTCAAGTATTCCGGACCGATTCCGCAAGGTCACTACCGTTCATCTACGGTCAACCGCGCCATTCATTTCGAACTGAACAAAAAACAGTCAATGCAGGATTTTTGAGCAAATCAGACCGAAAAGCCCCCAAACAGTGGTTGCAAACATGGGATTGCCGGTTCCACAAATACTGCCTCAAGTTTATCCAAAATCGACGAATATTCTATCTGAACCCCGATGAAACAAACGAGGCACGCATAAGCTAAGTTTCTAGTTCGCTGTTGTCAGTTATTCAATTACCAAATCTTTCAATATTCATAGGGCGTCAAGATTATAGCCATCAGATTAAATTTCCAATTACTGTACAACAAATCACCGAAGTGAATTCCCTATCCACTTGAAGACATTCGCTGAATGAAATTTACCGAACACGCCGTATTATACGTTGACTGTCTATAAATCCAAGAAAAATCAATCTCAAAGAATGCAATACAGGCATTTTCACGACTATTCCCCGAAAATCTAAAAAAAGAGAGCAACTGACTCTGCAGCCTCAATCGCTTCGAAAACACTAGATTTCCATTCAGTGTTCAGAAGAATGGACGGCGTAAAACGAAAAAAAGATCCGTGCACCATCAGTTTTGCATTCGGAAACAACCATGATTATTCATACAGCATCAGCATGATATCGTTCTTCCAAATATTCCCCCAATTTTGAATTGGCTTTTATACGTAACCACTGGATTAGAGCAGGCTCACCTTGATGCTTATTATGAAGAATATGATTTACTGCTTCGTTGATCCAAAGCTAAGAGAGGAGGTGTTCCAATTACCTCAGGAATAGTAGAGATAATTCCAGCATAGAGAGCTAGGACAACATGATGGCTACTAGGCACAGAAATAAAGGAAGCATTCTCGATAGCTTTGGCGTCAGTTTCTTTGAATTACCGTGTCTTTTTTCACACCGAGAAAATCAATAGATCCAAAATCTTAACTGCCGCAACAATACCCCGCTATTTCCAGCGGCCAGATTTATAATTTGCTATCAGTAACTGTCTTTCTTCACCATCAAGAAAGACGTTATGGTTGATACGATTGAACATTGAAACAAACTAATGAACAAAACGCGGACAATGACAATGAAAACACGTCTCACATGCGTGTGAGAACCACATATAAGCACAAGTAGGCACATGATCAGGAAAGATACCCTTGCAAGTTTAAAAAATCAAGGGATCGTTCTTGAACGATTGAGGTACGTTTCAAATTATTTACTAGAAGTGCAGTATTTGTTCGCGGGCTTTCAATTCGGGGACAACAAACTTCCGTCCCCATACTGCTTGTCGCCCCACTTCATTCTTCCCTGAGATAAACGTCCGTGACGCAAGCAGGCGCCGTCAAGTCCGCTAGCAGCGTTTCCGAAGTCACAAGTCATTCTACGCGAGACACTTGCCCGTTGAATACTGCTTGAGATAAGGAACACTCATCGATCGGTTCTTGGATGTTTAATTCTTGAACGAAGAGCAAAAACTCTCAAACCTCACGAATTTCTTTCGATCTTCGATTCAATGGAAGAAACAAGCTTCACGTAGCAGTGAAACGTTCACTGTGACGTTTGCGAGTTGAAAACAACGATCGCTCATCACGTCAATCAAGACGCTGAAATTACTTATAATTCTGATCAAAACATTGATTAGTCGCTTCTGGTCAGCGTTCTAATAGCTGGCAATCATCCGAAAAAAACATTTTAACGATAAACTAAAGATAATAGAATCATTCTACCATCGTCATGCTAATACAAAGAGAATCGTCTTCATCGTGCGAGCGGTTTTCGTCGCAAGGGATCGTTTCAAAAATTCGAACGTCGGCCCATTTTCAAGGGTACGGATCTGTACCTAATACATTCTCAAACCAAAGCTTGACGAACTTTTTCAACAGACTAGACGAGTTCGTCGCAGCCGAACACGAAGTCTACAGCTACTACTTAACCACTGCGGGATGATAGCAGTATCCGCACTTCGTTTTACACTCTTGCGTACCACTCAATATCAACGAAAAAATATCAATGCACATCCCACGCATCATGCGGTTAATTGGTACAGCACGTGAAAAACGATGAATCTTGGAGTTGGACTGAAAACGTATACGCGTCAACGACTAGAATGAAGAACCCAGCACAATAGAAGTCCGTCCACCCAAAAGAGAACACTTCAGTCGATGAAATCTCGCGAAGGGCACACGTCCGGTCGAAAAGAACGAAGAAATGCTTGTGCTCAAGATTAATTAGCTTCAAACATGACAGGTTGCGAATGAACAGGTGATACAACAATCCGATTTCGATTAAATGTTCATCATGATGGATAAATCACCCCATTGTATGATGTGTCGAACAGAATGCTCCTTCACGTAAGAATAAACACATCATGATAGGTGACAATCCTCCCATTCATGATTACATGGTTCGCATACCAGAACACAAACATCGCCACCGCAGTGAATTAAAATCCTCCAGTCTGTCTGCGTAAGGAGTGGTTCCATATTTTCCACGAACTTCAGAGAACGGCAAGCTAAAAATAACTATATTGCATTGGGTAGGTGTCGCTAATAGCAGACCACTGGCCTCCAGGTGATGATATTACAGCAGTAGAATTCCATTACAACGAATCTCGTTATAACGCATTTTTCATTATAACAAATTTTTTTGGTGGTCCTGGCAGTTTCCCGTAGGCGTAATGTTATGAAAAGTTTGTTATAACAAAGTAATTTTAGGCCTTAATCTTAATATAACGAATTTTTGGGCATGATTCTGTGCACATGCGCAACCCATACAGAAATTACTGAGTAATAGGCAGAAATTGTAGAAAATTATAAAATATAGCATTAAAAATTCAAAAAATCTTTATGCATAGAAAACTTGGTGTCCAAAAAAAAATGCACAGCAAAACATATTTTTGGAAATTCTTTAGGCCATCCATTTTAGAATGTATGCCTTTTTCAAATGAGCATGTATGGAAGAAAAATGTTCCTCCATATTTGAAAGAGCTATGGGTGAATAAGTTTACTGAGAAGGAAGTTCAGTATTTTTACCATAATTAATTTTGTTTCCTTTCATTTTTGAAGACAAGCAATTACTTAGTAAAAATGTTAGTTCATTTAAAGGAGAGTTATAAATTTTTTTCTTGGGTCCCTGGGAGTTTGTTGTAACAAGATTTTACTGTAGTATACTGTATAGTATACTGTGCTGGTATGTTGTAGTATACTGTAGTATACAGCTGGGGGCCAAAGATATGGCCCAGAGCTCTGGCTTGCAGAGGCCTTCAAACTGGCCCACAGACCATCCCAAAAATATTGCTGTAGTTTTGAAATATCTAGTAAAATTTCCCCATCTTCAGAGCAAGTTTGTATGATGCATTTTTACTATTTCTTTCTATAAGAAACTCCTAGAAATCATTTCCTTAATACTTTCAGTCTACAAACAAAATACGCAGAAGACTAAGTTAATCATTTTCAGAATTTCTGGAAGCTTTCAGAATTTATTTCAGTCTCAATCTACACCAAATGTGTCATGTACAGAGGGTAAGCCTCCATGGACAGCTAGGATGTGCCAATTGCTGCAGCAATTGGCACATCCTAGCTGTCCCACTGCTGCTGTATGTTCTGTTCCCTTATGGCTTCGAACTGGCACAGAAACACAGATTTTTTCAGCAACTGCCCTCATTTTCAGGAACCCTTTCACTATAGTGATGCATAATTTATTTATTTCTAGCGATTTTTTGAAAAGAGAACTCATTGAGTATTATTTGAGATTACAATCAATGAATTGTGCCCCCATATTATATATTTGTGATGAATAAATATGTGGTGTTAGTTCTTCAGCATTTTTATGAATACTGTACATGCTTTTTGTGCTGGGAATTATGGAGCAAAGATAAGGGAAAATGCACTTGAAAAACAAAAGCATGAGTTCAATTGTAGCTTTTCCTCCAGAGAAAATTTGAAAAATAAATTATGGTTGGCAAAAACATGCATAGCACAATTAAAGAGCTATAGGTTTGGGCACTGCCATATTAGAAAAATGCTGAGGGATTTAATGGTAAACAATGATCTTCTGCTGCCCAAGTGGGGAAAATGGTGCACATTTGGGATATGCATGTATTTCCACACAGTGACCCTGTGCTGTGCACCGCCTGAAGGGTGAGGCACATTCTCGCCGGAGCCGGATCGCAAGCCGTCAGAACTCCTCACCCCTGCACCCCCCATCCCCTCACGCCCGGCACCCAACACTCTCTCTCCTGCGGTTGTGCATGAGTGACTTTAAGAATCAGGAATATACCCCTTATTCGGGAAGCGGTATAGCAAGTGTATACACACAAACCTTGTTTTTTCAATTCCTTACTTCACAACATAAAGTCTTTGAAGAATGCTCATTATAAGCATTAGCAAGTTAATAAACACCATCTGAGACCTGATCATAATCAGGAAATGTAATGAATTATTTTGCTTTAGTTGCCTTGTCCAATCCTTGCAGTGGTCAGTAAAAATTATAAAAACATGGAAGAAGTAAAAACAATTAAATACAAAAGATATAAATGTATGAGTCTTAGCCTTTGGTGCAAGTTATTGCTGCTGCATGAGAGGTTGCCCCATGTGAATTTCTTGCTTTGCAATTTGCCATTAGGGAAGAAAAAAATTGTTTTTGCCTTTTTGCATGAAAGGGAAAATCTCCGTGATTTTTCTCCAAGTGCCTGGACTGTTGGAAAAGTTGGGAAAAAGAAATCATTTATTAAAATAAAGATAGAGTAAATGAGTAGAGAAATTGAGTTAAACATTCAAAAAATTTGCAATCAGCACAAGAGAAATATTAGCCAATGTTGGATGGAAATTGGAAATTTTTATTCAAGTTACCCATACAGTTTTTTATGTGTGGCAAATTTATTTCAAGCTCTGCATTGAATTTCTTTATAAAGTATCACACCAAAATTCAAAGATCATATATTTATAAATCAGAGCTGTGTGATAAGGAAAATGGCCTCATTTATTGTTAAAGAGGCCATTAAGAAATGAATATGTAAGAATAAGAAAATTCTGCCCAGTGGATCATCAT